AACCTCAGTTGTAAAAAATCAATAAAAAAGATTAAAAAAAAAAAAAGAAGAAGAAGAACAAGGACCCGTGGGCTATAAGAAAAAGCAGCGTTCAACTCCTAACAGTCCTTTGGGAGAAGCCTGGTCCTCCCTAAGGGGTTACCCTGACACAGAAGTTTGTGGGTTCAGCCGAAGAAGGCGGTCGTCCCCCACCTCCGTGGCTTTGTCTGGAAGGACGTCCAGAAGATGTCTGGTTTAATTAGCATATTACCCTTTTATTAATATAGATATTAATATAGATGGTACTACTCAGGAGAGCTGGAGGCTAACATTCCAAAGCCCAAACTACCAGATGGATGGTGTGTAGGTTACAGATTACATAGGGCAAAATCACAAGACACAAAATCACAAAGTTTTCAGGGTTGTGATGGGAGCTGATTGGTCAGAGGTGACATAAAAGTATAATAATCATCTCTTTAAATCTTAGAAACAATTCTGAGGTCTTTTCTGGGTCCCTCTGCCCCACATCCTGAGAAAGTAGCCATGCCATCATTCCACATTAGGGCCTAGTAGTTGAAACATAAGTTAGGCCAAGATGTTATTTTTAGCCTGCCAATGATCTGGACTAAATGGCCATTAGTCTAGGTACCAGTTATTTTCTTCTGCTGGGGATGGAGTGGGGGTTGGGGGGTAGTTGCTGATTACATAAAAGTGTAATAATCATCTCTTTAAATCTTAGAAACAATTCTGAGGTCTTTTCTGGGTCCCTCTGCCCCACATCCTGAGAAAGTAGCCATGCCATCATTCCACATTAGGGCCTAGTAGTTGAAACATAAGTTAGGCCAAGATGTTATTTTTAGCCTGCCAATGATCTGGACTAAATGGCCATTAGTCTAGGTATCAGTTATTGTCTTCTGCTGGGGATGGAGTGGGGGGGTAGTTGCTGATACCCAGGAAAAGGCTAGGTCTCTGAGGGATATATATATATGTATATGTATATGTATGTATACGTATATGTATATGTATATGTATACATACACACATATATATACACATACATGCATACATACACAATGTCCCCCCAA